ACCCGACCCAGCACCTCGGGAGGAGCCAGACCCCCACCACCGCGCCTTTCCCTAGGGGCCTTTCCCTGACCACCACTCCCGCACCTTCTTGGATCCCCTCATCCTCCATTTTTCATCAGTGACCCCCACCTCACCGGCGACTTGTGGCTCTCGCGGTGTCGCCAACCCCCTGCTAGTCCCGATGTCCACTTCCGTGCTGCCCCAACAGTGGCATGAGAGACGCCGGCAGGGGCTCGCCAGCACCACAGCACGTGGGCAGGTGCCCGTCCTCCCTGCCGGCTTGACCTCCTCCTCCGGCACGCCATGCCTCCTTCGACCAGATAGAGCAGTTCGCTCCGGATCTGCATGTGGTTCGATTGCCGGGTAGCTGCAGTGCGAAGAGTAGTGGCATCTCTCCTCCCTCTCCATCGTGTGGAGTTGACCGCGTACACCATTGCAGTCTGGCTGCAGCGCGTGGCGTGCAGTTTCGCAGGGCGCAGTGGAACGTGAACAATTTTTATGTGTTTTCCAGATTTTCGTTATTGATTTTGCTGAATTCAGTGCAGTAAAAATCTCAAAATGCAGTTTGATAAATTATCTGTGCAGTTTGCTGGGCATTGGTGTGTGGCTCGGATGCAGTTTGGTATTGTTTTGGTAGAAATTACATTTTTAGTCTCTTTTTGCTACTGGATGCTTCAGCTCACTTCCGTTCGAATCGGCGATGCAGTTTGGCTAGGTTGCTCGTGCTGATTTTGGTGTGTACTGTGCGTACTTCTTTAGTATAAAAAAATTATGTGTCAAATTGCAGGGGTTTGTTTTCTTATAAAATTATACTCGGATGCGGTTTAGTGTAGTAATTCTTTGTGGTTCACTTGTTACAACAAAAAAGAAAAGAAAAAGAATCACAAGAAGTTCACTTAACGAAACACATGCAGTACATTACGGTAAAAACAAAAGGTTGACTTCATTAAAAAAATCTCACTATTGAAAAACGTAAAAAGAGAAAGCTGAAGAATTATTGTTCGCGAAGTTCACTCGCCTTATCATCGGAGTTCAGACTCGTCAACAAAAAAGTGAAAAAATCAAAATTAGGGAGCAAAAAAAAACAATGCAGTTAACTACTAGTGTCGCAGGACATTTCTCTTGACCATGGGGTTCACTTCTTTGCCCATGTAAAACACACTCTCTGAGAGGTTCATTATATTGCCACATGTTGTCTTAAAAAGCAAGAGTTAATTTTAATGCTCATGCGGCTCACCCTTGGTAGTGTTGCGGTTCAATTACTCGTAATGTGAAGTGCTAAAAAAATGTTACTGAGACGATAAAATAAAAGAATGCTTGTCTTCAAAATTTTACATGTAACAAAAAGAAACCATGAAGTTTGCTTGACCGTCTGATGCAGTGCGGTTTTTAGTCTAAAGCAGTGCATCTTCTGTCTGATGAAGTGCACACGTCGATTTAAGTGCTTGTTTGGAAAAAATTCGTTTAAGAAAAAAAACCATGAAGTTCACTTGACCATCTGATGCAGTGCGGTTTTCAGTCTAAAAGCAATGTCGTTTTGTGTCTGATGCGGTACATACGATGATTTGGCGTCGCGAAAAAACAGAGTCTCCGTATTTCATTAAAATTAAAATTACTCTTAAACCGCAAGGAATCGGAGAGAGTGTTCTACATGAAAAAGTTGCGTCTCATCATTATCTTTCCAGCGGAGTATAATTTGAATTATTTCGACAAGCGGTTTGTTAAAATTTCGCGAAAAAACGGCCGCTGCCTCTCGCCATCAGCTGCACGATTTTCAAAATTAACTAAAAATCGTAAGGAATCTCAAAACCATTTCAACATATGAAAGTTGCGCCTCATCCGTAGCTTTCCAACTGCGTATCACACGTCTCGTTTCGACAAACGGTTCAAAAACTGGAGCGAAAACAGTACAAAAATAGCAAAAAATTTGAAAAAACAGGATTCCGCAATTTACTAAATTTAAAACTGCTCTTAAACCGTAACAAATTAGAGAAAATAATAGATATGAAAAAGATGCGCCTCGACGATATATTTCCAACTCTGTATCATTTGCTTCGTTCCGACAAGGGGTTTAGAAAAAATCGCGAAAATACGCTCGCTGCCACTCGTCGTCTGTCGCACTGTTTTTGAAACTGTTCTTAATCCGCGAGGAATCTCGAAAAGTGTTCAACATGACGAAGTTGCGCCTAATCCGTAGCTTTCCAATGGTATATTACACGCCTCGTTCCGATAAACGGCTAAAAATTAGAGCGAAAACAGTACCGAAAAACACTAGCGCAGTTTTTTCCGACGTGAAGTTCACTAGTCTCTGTAATACAGTGCTCTTGTTAAAGAAAGTGCAGTGCCCTCGTGTTGAGCATGCAATGCGGAAGTGTTATCAGAATAACTATTCTGATAATATTATAAAAATAGGCGGGTATATATACGGCGGTGCTATTGTGCGCGAGCGCGCATAATGCTTAGCGTGCGCTTCGGCCGGTCCTAATTAGGCGTGCGGCTCATGGAGCTCTCCACCGCACATTTTTTGAGGGTAACAGTGATTGCAAGAAAAAGTAACCCATTTGATTTTTTCACCATGTATGTTTCACTCCGTTCCGACTCGGTGGTCCCTATGCATTGGTAGTAATAGGGGTAATATAGATGGTAATAGACAAAGATTCTTTACCAGGCAATGATTTATCGATGGTTTGATTCCTGAACATAATAAAACCTTGCTAACATGTAGTAACCAATTACTAGCAGCAGTAAATAGATGGAGTGATAGGTAATGGAATAAAAAGTATGAATGAAAAAAAATTAGAGATGCTTTGATCCTGCGCATGGTAAACCTAGTAAATCCCGCCTCACATGTAGTAAAGCATTACTACTACTATATAATAGTGACCTAGTAAATCTAGGCTCACATGCAGTAATGCATTACTACTGCTTTATAATAGTGACCTAGTAAATCTAGACTCACATGTAGTAATGCATTACTACTGCTATATAACAGTGACGACCACATCAATACTACTTCATGCAGGACCAGTTTAATTAGCGGTTGGTGATCGTAACTCATTACTGCTGGATATTTTGCGAAGGAATCGATGCCAGGCAAAGCGCGTTGAGTCTGGTCATAAGCGGTTACGGTAGATCACTAGCGAGCGCGTGGTTCGTCTAATTAGCGCATACAACTAGTTGGGTTAATCGGTGGCCGGAGCGTAGGTTAAGATATAATGCACGTAGGCTTAGTTTAGCAGGTCTACTATAACTTGCCACATAACTTGTTAAGGTCGCTAAACTTTTAACAATTTTAAAGTTATCAAAAAATATGAAATAAATATGGAAGCATCTCTCTAATATAATAAGATGATCCAACAGAGGGATTGTCAAAACATGCATCTATGTGTTCTCGGCAAAAATAATAAGCACTTTAGCTCACTACGACATAAATATATACTGAACTATTTTTTGTCTAGGACATATACAGCAATATTTTTAATCATTCTGTTGAATCATGTTATTTTATAGGTGTGTTGGTTCAGTATTTTTTTTCAGAATTTTTGAGAACTTTTGCACCGCTGAAACTCTTAACTAGTTCTGCACCGTTTTTATTATATATATGACAAATTTTATCTACCACCGGTGGTAGTTATCACCGCTTCAGTTTTGTATGTTGTATGTAGTATCTATCAAATCGGAGAGTATGTGCACGTAGTTTCTAGTATATAAGAATGTTTAGGTAGTATATACAATAAATTTTAGGTAGTATGCATCGTATTTTGAATATGATTTTTTACGTACAAATATATACGCATTTCACAAATATAATAAAAACTATGGGTCAACTTGCAATTTTTTCATGTAACTCATTTTGAAATATGTTATATATAATGTATGAACATATTTATAATGATAAAGTAGTATATATAGTATAATATGGTAGTATATGAGATATGTAGGGTAACTACCACCGGGTGATAGGATGGATTTTCCCTATATATATATATATATATATATATATATATATATAGGAATTGACTATTCGTCACCCTAGATGAGAAATAGTTATTCTTTACCCCTCTATTTTAATAGCAATGCATCGTAATTTTATGTTCTGTAAATTTTGTCTTATTTTATACGTAAAAATAGATCGTAAAAAAATATAGTCGCCGTAAAAAATATTTTATGTTACGTAAAATTACAAACGTAAAAACATAGTGTATAATATACATAAAATGCATTTTTTCTGATCTTATGACCTATATTTTATTTTCTTATGCCAAATTTTACGTAGTGAATCAAGATGAATGTAAGTATTTTTATTTCAAACATAATTTATTTATGAAATGATTGTAAAATTATCTCGGGTGAAGAATAACCTATTCTGCACCCGAGGTAATCTTACGATCATTTCATAATTAAATTACGTTTGAAATTCAAATAGTTACATTCATATTGATTTACTGCATAAAATTTGGCATAAAAAATATAGGTCAAAAATTATATTTTATGTACATTTTACACTATATTTTTACATTTGTAATTTTACGTAATCTAATTTTTTTTCACAATAATTATTGCTTTTCTTACGTTCTCTTTTTATGTCTAAAATAAGAGAAAATTTACGAAATGTAAAATTACAATGCATAGATGTTAAAATAGAGGTGGGTATATATATATAGAGAAAAAAATAAATCATGTACTATATCTAATATATTTCAAAGCAAGTTACATAAAAAAATTGCATATGAGTCCATAGTTTTTGTTATATTTATGAAATACGTATGTATTTGTACGTAAAAAGAGCATGCTCAAAACATGGTACATGTTACGTAAAAATTAGTATATATACTACCTAATCATCATTATATAATACATACTATACGTACATACTCTTGGTTTCGATAGATACTACGTACAACATACAAAACGTAAGTGATGGTAACTATCACTGCTTGTACGAAACATTTGTCCTATTAGGATGGGTCTATTATGATAACACCATTAAGAGCCTTATTTTGCTAACAACATGCTTATTCTGCACACACTTGAGCACCGCTAAAAGCACCAAACCGACCACCCTACCCACCCCAAACGAACCACAGCTACAAAATAAAAAAATCCCCCTGGCCGCTAGCACAACCACCCAGCTCTCTCGCACCTTCTTCCCCCGACCTACTAGCTTCTTCTGCCGGGGGCTGAGTGTCGCGCCGCTGGCCGCGTGCTCAGCTCCTGCCTCCGATCTCCTTCCCCGGCGCCGCCCCCATCCAGTCTACTCCCCCCGGCGCCGCCCGCTTCCTCCCCTCTTTCCTTCTTCCCCGGACGCGTGCAGGTCGCCCCAGCCCACTCCAAACACACCTTCCCCGACCCCCTAGCTTCTCCCACCAGGGGCCAAGGGCCTCGCCGCCGGCCGCGTGCCCGGTGCC